GAGCCCTTCATCTCTACGTAGTTTAATTTCATGTTCACATTACCATATTCAGACGTGAATTGGAACGGCGAAATGGGTACCAACCAAAGTAACACTTCTATGCCTGTCAGCGGTACCTCCATTTGGGCTGAATTTGAGAACGACTGGTTTGCTCAAGGCGTTTCGCGGCTGGCATACAAAGGCACCTACCATGGTGATTGGCGTTATGAAGGCAAGAAGTGCGTGGTGAAGCTGTACAAAGAACAGTGGTGCGAGCTCCTTGGAGAGGCAGCGTACAAGGCTGACGTACGGGCCTCTTATAAAGCCCACGAGATGGCGCAAATATTCAACCGAAAGCATCCAACCAACAAACCGATCGAGTTCATCATTCCAAAGATCTCTAAGATCGACACGTCGGCAGCCTTCAAGTTCCTCGGACTGTTTCGGATCCCGAAGAAAGTAAAGGGAAAACTGGCAGGCACCCAGGCTTCCTCGACGGAGATGATCCCCAAGGGATCCAGCGTGGCGATCGAAGACTTCCTGGAGGGCGACTACGTCAAGTTCCTGAGCAACTCGTCGTACGTGAACCACGGGATTCCCACCTTCCTGCCGGCCGCGTTCAGCCACTTCACCTTCCACGAGTCCCGCGGGCAGGTCCTGGTGTGTGATCTCCAAGGGGTGCGGCGAGAGCGGAGTTACACCTTCACCGACCCTGCCATCCACAGCTGGGTCGACCATGACCTCGGCTTCTACGGCCCGACCGACCTGGGAGTCTTCGGGATGATCAAGTTCTTCCAAAACCACCATTGCAACCACATCTGCAGAGGGTTCCTGACGCCTGACTTGTCAAAGGTTCCGAGAGACGTTGCAGCGGACATCAACCGCATACTGCAGGCCATTCAGATCAGGAGCGGGTCGACGTTCACCTATGAACTGCAGCGCACCGGAGTCAGAGTGTCCCGCATGTGTGAAATTCAGGATGAGCTCGTTTTACAGGCAAAGTAGAAATTTTAAGTAAATCCCACGCATTCCGAAATGAGAATCAGTCTCAGTAAGTTTTTCCGAAAGATAAATTTTAATTTTTCTGAACAATAATTTTGTACATACACTATTTAAAATAAACGATTCAAATAGAAATTACATCTCAACGTTTTCTGTTTACCCTTTTGATTTTATTATTGCCATCTTTCAATACTTTTCAGTGCATTTTCCAAATCTTTTGATGTGTGGTAGTTACAGGACACTTTAGCTTTAGGCCTATACCTGTTTGAGTTGGTTAAAAAAATCTGTTTCTTTTTTGGTGTACTGGTAGTTAGTTGGCATTTTAACTTTCAGTTCATTTTGCATGTCGATGGCTATTCTTTTACTGTACTCTGACTGGAAGATCGTAAAGATTACCTGTCTACCAGGGTTAGCATCTTAGGAAAGTCTTTTTATAGCTTATGTGAGTAGGGGTAAAGTGAAAGTCTGAGAATGAGCCAGTTGTTTCTCTTCAGATGCTGAATAGTATGCTTTAAAAGAAAAGAAAGGAAAATACACAAGTCAGATATTGGGCCGTCCGTTAATTAAGTGCGAAGGGGAGACGGGGTTCAAGCCAGTGCGTACCGTGCGCAAACCGAAAATTTGCCTGTAATGAATCTTCATCATATCAATACACTTTATCATACTAATAACTACCAGAATAAGGTGTTGGGCCCCTTCGCGTCGAAATTCGAACACAGAACTCTCCACTGTCCACCCCACCATTTATCCTCCCGTGCCAACGCCCATTATTAGTAAACCGCAACAGTATTCATGACATTACTGGCAGCGTCTTCCAGAGTTGTGTAATGTGTATGCGTACAGGGGGAGGGCTTGGAGCCACTGCGTACGCCATGCGTGGGGGGGGGTCTGAAAAGTCGGCATTTCGTGAGTATGTACTTTATGGACAGCCCCTATCCGTTGGTCGAAGCGCTATTGGAATTGTCGGCATGTGAATGTGTAGTTAAGTGGGGATTTCTTTTTCATGCAAGCCGTCCCTTTAATGCGACACTCATAACCTGTATACAAAGGATACTGTTTACTTGAATATTTTAATTTTGTATCATGCGTTCAGAAGGAAAAACAAACTCTTCCGGAATCGGTCCCCAGAATTCGCTCTGATTTCACTGGTAGGCTTTTAGTTTCTACCTTAAATTTTCGATTAAATTCTTCCAATCAGTCTGGCACCAGTCCCATAACAATCGAGCTTATCATCATCCCTTTTTTGTAAGACAGGTCAGGCAAAATGTTAATTTTTCCAAAGAAGAGCTCAGTGTACACCGGCACAAATGAGGTTATTAACTCGAAAGACGATACCAAACCCTATCTTAAGTCTTGGAAAGTCTAGCTATACTGGATAAAATGTGAAGGATTAAACGAAAGTTTCATCAATGTACTCATAATGAAAGTCTCATATCCTAGTTAAGTTTCAAACAGACTGCACCTTTCCCAGTTGTAAAACTGTCAAACAAGCCCATTTTGGGAGAGGGAGGGGTAGAGTCGATTTTAATTGCTGGGTTTTGAGCAATACAGGCTACTGAACCGCTACTACGTTGTCACTTTCTTCTGATTTTATACATTAGCACTGTTCAATATTTTTTTCAGCGTGATGCGGTGTAGTTATACGTCGATCGGTAATCCAACCGCGCTTGTGCACAAGACTGCGCAGGACAAGCGCACGATCAACTAAACACAAGTCTTCATCAGGCGATATTTAACTTCATATCCTTCCTCTTTCTAATCCAATCAGAAAGAAGAATGGCAGTTTGTTCACAAAACAATGGACAGAGACAACACCTGAAAACTCAGTGCTCTGTAAAGGTTTTTGATATTTATGTTGCATTGACATCAAAACAAAAACTTTTCTTGGTTTTATGGGGTATTCCTGTATTTTGGTTTGGCATCCACTCTTTTACCCAGATGAAAAATCGTCCAACATCGTCAAACTAACGAGCTGGCTCATTGCCTAGATGCTCCAATGACAACAAAGTTATTGGTAACCCGCATTGAATGCGGGACAATGAAGTTCCAAAAAAAACGATAACATCAGCGTCCAAATAGACACCGTATGTTTAAGGCCGAAGACCTGCCTGGGTGAATGGAACAGCTTGCTATATAGTCGAGCCAGGAAAATCTAGGTAATTCCCCTGCCAAGATACAACGCAGGCAGAATAAACAGTGCGGGGAAGTAATTGTTCGTGACACAAAAAGAAACTTTGGTCAGGTAGACGCTGATTCTGAACGTTTATCGTATGTTCTCAATATGTCTGGACTTCCCAGAGATAAAAATCAAGCCATTGTCTGAACAAAAACAAAGACAACTTACTTGTCGTCGCCAAAAAAATCATATGAATTTTAAATTGCTTTAAACTGTTGCTGACAGCAAGGACAGCAAAGCAGGAGGTTATTTCTCAAAGGCTTGAATGGGCTTTGAAATATGAAGTATCCATGCCTGCCTCTTTGAGAACAGATTAGAGCCAGAAAACATAACTTCCGTCAGAAGACCTAGACAAATGATTTACGTCAATTGCTGTGAGTAACGAACAGCGACTAGCCGTAACGTAAGTGCAATTAACATGACCAATTCGTGAGTTGACTGTCTGATCGATAACTGACGATTGTTAAGTAAAAACTTGAAATGATTGAACACAGTTGCCACATTCCATGTGAAATTATAGCGTGGTTGTGGAGGACGCAAATTTAAGACACTCGAGGAGAAACGTTCAACTAGATGATGTTGCCCAATTGAGGCACCGTCTAGAAAAACGTGCTGAGGAAATTGCCGATCTTTATACACAGAGAGTTCTATATTGCAACCCCGAATCTAACAAATGTTGAAGAAAGGATAAACAAACCGATACATGGGCTCTACCAGGATCAGCTTGCCTCTGAAGACAGAAGCGGGTCCATTGATTCCAAGCTGAATCATGTTGCTTTTTGGGCTACTCCTTCCAAGGTGACATGACTGTGAAAAACACTGCGAAATGTCCTCTGAAGAGAGATTTTCCCTGATAGCTTCCATGCGGCTAAGAACATTTGATCCACTGGACTGGGGCGATGAGTAAAATTGTGGCCTTCTCCTCGCTGATTTTGTTCAAACCCTTGGGCAGAAGAGCAAAGGAAGGAAAGCGCAACCCTTTATCACTTTCCAGCTCATCAATACAGCATCTATTCTCCACGCTATGGGGTTAGGCTCCTCTGACAGGAAGACTTTTGTCTGGTAGCTGTAGTGTTCCCTTGTCTATCTGAAGATGTCAGTAGAACAACGGGGCCGGAAACACTTTTTCCAGTATTATCTGCACCTCCAGATCGGAAATGGTTGAAGACAGCCTGCCGGCAAAAGACGTGCAGGAGATGCTGGAGAACTGATTGAAAATCATATTTAAATGTTGTCTGAAGAATAGCTCTGTCTATCAGCTCTTCCTCGACTTGTGAACGACTTGTAGGAAATCTGGCCAGTAAAGGGGCTTCATAGAAGTTGAGAATCGTCGGTATCTAGACGCTCTATATTCAGCTTGGTAGAGGGAGAAGCGCTTGTCTTTGGCAGAGCTTGAGAGACCTTTACTACTGGTAACTCTTGCTGCTAATTTATTGGCCCTTTCTGTCTCCTCAATGTCCTTCATTAGCGATGAACCGAATAGCTCGCCCATGGAAGGTTGATTCCGCTTAAGGGTAACAAATTTTGTATCGACGGTGTCATCAAAGACACGCTGAAGAGCGGTTGCAAGGCCTTGGCTGGCAGAGCCTAAAAGAATTAGGCCAGAAGAAACTAAGTCCAGTACCATATCCTTGTTAATCTCATTGGGACTTTCAGGGTCGGCAACTGCCTCAAACAAGCGTAGAAGTGGTAGGGCTGCTTTCAGAGCGTAACATTGAGCAGTTTTAAGTCTGTCATCCTGAAAAATGACGGAGGGATTTACCAGCTTGAAAACTTGACTCCAGCTAGCAACTCTGGAGCAGAAAAATATTTCTCCTGCTCAACAGGAACCACAAAAGAGGACAATTCCTCCTTGTGATCTTCTCGTGAAAGTATATGAGTTCTTAGGCCCTCCCACCACTGAATCACCTCCTCAGAAATGGGGTTACCCTTGCCTTTTTCTGAGGATTGCGCATTATCTCTCTCGTAGCTGGAAGGGAAATTGCTACACTCCCAGTACCAGAAGTTTCTGAGTTATCCTCCTTGCTGTCGCTGACAAGTGAAACAGCGGAGTCGGTGCGAGCCGTGCCAGTGCTGGTGGATGACGACTGCTCCGGAAGACCAGTTGTGGTGGGTAAAGTTGTCTGAGGAGTACCCCAGGAGCTCAAGTTCCAAGGCATGGACAGGTTAAAAAATGTTTTTGGCTGTGACCAGGCCGATGCATAACCAACCGGGTTTGCTGCGGGTCTGAACGGGCCCTGTGAGTTGCCGGTGCCGCTAGGCGGTGCAGATGGTGTAGGTTCCGATCCAACTTGAGGAGCAACAGCGGTGCAGTGTTGTAGAGGTGGTACTGGTTGGGATATGTCGCTGGACGAAGTTGACTTCGGACCTGGAATGGAGCCTGTTAAGTTTCGGACATGACTACCCTCCACCTGAACTGCCATCAGCCCATAAAGAAGCTTCGGGCATGGCGGTCAGTCATGGGCTTCGGGCATGACGACCCTTCATCCTGACCGCTAGGTCCTTCCCCATTCGTTGATCTCTCTTGTAACCAAAGCTAGAATATCCATATAGACGATGGAGTTTCATCGGGGGCCTAGAGACCGTAGCTGGAGCCGTGGAAAAGTGTAGACTAT